CAGAAAACGCAGAGATAGTGTTGCATATTGAAGACGTCAAGACAACTTTATTGCATAGGTTGTTGGCCAAAGACAAACAGAACTTATGGTAATATTATATACCAGCAAGCATTGCTGCCAACTTATAAATTTTACGGTGCTTTCCACCTCTTCTTCACTGTTACAATAAATGAAATTGCTATATGAAAGAGGCAGCAACAACGCAGATTTGTTTGTTTGCTTTTTTTGACATATACATATCCCCAAATAGCATAGTAAAAAACGGTGCTGTAGTTAAACAGTTCAAAGGTATGCAACGCTTTCCATACACTTCCCTCTGGTTTGGAATTAAGCTTTCCAACGTCTACATGCAAGCCCCATTGTGGAGGTACGTAGCTTCGTAGGACTCGGATGAATCTTAATGTCTCACTGTTGGTGTGATGAAATTATATCGGTAAGGCTAAATGAGAAGCTACAGCAGAAGTTGCAACACCAACACCTAGCCGTGCTGATTTAAAAATAGGAAGATTAGATTTCAAGGCAATTGCACTGAAATCAAAGGCACGGAAATTATATAGACAAATCAAGAAGCCACCACTTCATTGCTAATTTGCTTCCAACGTGTCTTTTTTTTCTTGGTATATTTAGTCTATTTATTCTAGTTTACATTACGACATCAAGTTGCATTGTTTTGCTCCTTTTTACTCTTCAATAACTTTGTCTATTGAGTACTGTTGTGTACAAAGTTAGGTTTAATAAGTTTTAAGAATTACAAGCCATGTACGCGTATAAACTTTATTTTGTTTTACGTTGTCACTGTTTTGTCAGAAGGGCCTTCAGGCACTCTCAAGCTGTTTGCAGCAGCCTTTTGTTTAAAGGACCCTCTCTGAATGGTCATACAATAATGGAAATAAAAATTTGAATTAATATTTGGTATGCGAATCTAGGAAAAAAATAATGCACGCTGAGAAATGGAAAATTTATTGTTCACTGACAAGACTAAAGATGATATTTGCTTTCGTAAACTATAAACTATAGAGAAATAAAATTTATAACATCACTGAAATCAAGCAAAGGCATTTTTTACCTGCCCCCGCATTGTGAGTCGGAGAGAGAAATAAATAGCCATCATTTTGACTGCCAATAGTTAACATACCATAACTTTATCTTTCTTAAAGATCCCCCAGGAGGCATTACTTAAAGAATTGGTTAACATAGAAAAACTTTTATTGCCACAACTATTTATCCCTAACTAGACACAAGCAAAACTAAACTCACTTCATTTCATGGACAAATAAGACCATCCGCCTTCACTTTACATATACTATACGAAACACAACTATCGATAAAAGCGACCAAGTAAAATACTTAGGCGTTACTTTCTAATCGAATATCAACTGGGAACCACATGTTTTAGCCATATGTCGTAAATCGGAGAAGAAGCTATTGTTCATGAGGAGAAAATTGCGCCCTGCACCATCACACCTTAACCGAATGCATACAAAGCACAAATTATACGATGTTTAGTGTACGCCGATCTCATCTGGAGTCCACATCAAAAGCACCTCATTAATAAAATATAAAGAATACAAAAATCGGCATTCAGATTTGTATATTCAGACTTCTCGAGGCAATACAGTTCTGCAGGCTTGCTCGCAAGGGCAAACTTAAAACCTCTTTCGCAACGCAGAATTATCTCGCGACTAAAATTTTTTTACCAATTATATCATGGTCTATTCCGCGTATCGCGATCTCATTACCTGCTTGACCAGCCCCAACACTCATCGCGACTGAAACATTTCAAAACTATCACCAACCTTTCAGTCGCGCTAACGCTCACAAACATTGCCTTTTTCTGTCAGCTATCCACCATTGGAATAGACTAAACAACAATATCGTATGCTGTAACACTATACAATCATTCAGGAACTTAATATAGTGTGTCCATTTTGACTTATGAGCTGTTTGACATTATATCTTCTTTCTTGTTCTTCCGGTGTGTTTTCTTTCTATGCTTTGTATGCATCTTCTTCTCTCCACTACTGCATTGGCCGTGAAAAGCCTGCAGTGTGTTCAAATTTAAAAAATAATAAATCTTGAAATATGGGCACATAATTGATCAAAAAACGATGTTGGGCACTCAGCGATGACAAAATCACGAGGAATGTCATTCCAGTATTCTACTGTCCGTACAAAGCAGGACATAGAAAATATGGTCGTCTTAATTCATGGCTGGGCAACTTGAAGTGAATGATAAGTGCGGTGAAATACGTGGGCCGGTGGAATGATGTACGGATGACAAAGCGTGCTGTGGAAAAACATATGAAAAAGGCTTGTGCGTACACTTACTCTGATTCAATGACATCTGCTTTGACGGCATTGGCGAAATCACTCACCATATTCTTCAGGTCGAACTTACTGCTGTAAGCTATGCCTAATCTCAGCTTCTTTGTTCTGCAAGATATAAAAAATGTGTTCACAATTTACATCATTCAAGATTGAAGTCGAATACCAGATATTTTTTCTTACACAAGTTGTTCGGTCTTTGCCTCATCATAATTTCATTCAGTTGCCTTATCAATCTGAAGAATAGTCTTCGCAGAACCTACGGTGAAATCTTTCTGTAACCCTCATTCACGCTTAACAAAGACCATCTCGAAACTGCGCCCGAGGAATCGTCTTTAAAATGCTTAATATTTTGTTTGTTTGTTTGTTTGTAGCCTAGAATCCATGGCTCATACCCACTCTGGGGGATTGGCCAAGAGAACATATAGTCTCATATGGACGTAACTCCACTATTGTTTACAACAAAAAAAGGGGGGTAGTTGTAGAGTGAAGACAGTATATTTAAAAAAGCCAAAGATTAAGATAGTGAGAAAAAATCAACAAGACAGTAGACACTAATAGCTATACCTTCATTTTGGGAGTCGACCAGACAGTTGGTTTTGCCAAACTAGATTAATTTGGTTCTTCACGGATTTATCTAGATTTGAAAATTACTTTCCGACCCGTTTTTTCTGAGTACATATTAACGTGGGCTTTATGTTGAAAAACGTTTATAGTCTTGAATAAAATTACACACCGCATCGAATGCATCTTTGTGGCAATTTTCCAAAACAGAGGCACCAAAATTTAGAACATTTTTTGTGGTTAAGTATAAACCATGCTTCGCAAATGAAATATCTCGAAGTCGTTTCGTAATTAATGCATAGTTCCCACATGAGCCAAAAGTAATGTTCAATAGTTTCTGATTCTTTGCAGAACGGACAAAAGGGGGAAAGTGTCAGACCAGCTCTGTGTAAACAAAAACTTAATGGGGGGACGCGGCACCGGCATCTGGAGATTATATTTTTCAAGTTTTTTTTGACGGACTCTATTGGGTTTTCTATGGAAATTTTAGGTACTGATAACTTGTCCATTGTGCGATCTTTTCTAAACTATCTGTAAAAATAGCAAATTTCCTATATCTCACCTCTGATAAGTATTCTAACTCGGGAAGTACTGAAAAACTGCTCGATCAAGTGCTGCTCATGCCAAAGCATCTGCCAATTAATTTATTTGTAATCCGCAGTGACCTGGGACCCACACTACTTTGAGGAGTTTTAAATGCGGCGGTGCTAATGTGTGGAACGCTGCAAGGGCACGAGATTGTTCGGAGGTTGTCAGAGCTGCACACACCGAAAGTGAGTCTGTTAGGATGATTGCACTGGTCTCGGTCATAGGAATTTTTCGAAGAGCTAAAATAATATCTACTAGCTCGGCTTCAAATATAGGAGTGAAATCTGGAAGCCTTACTGAAAACGACCAGCCGAGGAAATCAGACGCAATTCCTACGTCTGCAATTTCATTGTTGACAGAAGCATGTGTAGCTATTACATTTTTTGTTTCTGCGTGTACCACGTAATCTTTTATTGTAGTGGTCAAAAATCAGAGAGATTGCAGCTTGGCTTGTGGGGGGAAGATTTCATCGTACTCTATTCTAATGTTGAGGGTTGAGGAATTAGTTTCAATTACTGTGCTAATGTGTACATTTATGCAATCCAATTTCTTTTTAACAAAAATCACCTGAGGAGTATGAAATTGAGGCCAATGTGCAACAAAGAAAGAGTCAGGATCGCCGATAAATTCGTACTCTGATCTTCGCGCCGGTAAACTGTAGAACTTTCGGAAGGTTTGAACCGTTAGAATGCGGAATCGACAGAGGAGTGTTGGCAATCGCCATTCTTGGTAAATACATTATTTGCCACGAACCTGGGAAGCCCCAGGCATATTCACAGGGCTTCTCGCTTTAACATTACTAGTAGTTTAACTTTATAACCAGCGGCCCCCCAGAATAATGCACACCGAAATTCCAATATTGGTCGCATATACATTTTATATATCATTAACAAAGTGCGTCTGCGCAGCCCGTATTTTCTGTTGCTTAACCTGCGTAATAAGCCTAACGCCTGCGTTATGCCTTTGCTGTTATATACTTTATGTGTGGGCTAGCAATTCAGCTTTTCATTATAATTCATTCTAAGTACTTGACTGAATGTACTCATGGAATAGGGTTCCCGATTATATATAATACAGAAATAGGAACCGTATCTTCTGTAGGAAACACCAAGAGTGCACTTTTACTGATGTCCACTGACAATGAAATTGATTGCAACCCTAATATCTAGAGTAATAATATATCTGCACTTTTTGATGTGGTGAGTAAATGCCGCTTACTGCAGCGAAGAACGTGATATCATCTGCATAAATGTAGACACTGACATCCTGAACAATTGGAATAGAGCTCATCAGTATATTGAACAATGCTGGAGATAGGACGAAACCTTGGAGAACACCACGTTTCTGTTTGAATTTATTCGAACAGCCTTCCTTCATGCAGTACAATTCCCTTGATTTTAAGAATTCTGCTATCCTCTCAGTAATATAATTAGGATACTTTAGGCTCTGCAAGGTGTTCAGCAGAATAGAGTCTTCGACACTGTCCTACGCTTTAGCTATGTCGAGAGCGGCGTACTGTTTCTTTTTACGAGCAAGCTGTAATCGACTCTCTAAATCTGCATGGGCGCACCGAATTGAGCCTTCACTGCAAAAACCAATTTGATTTGGCTTTTATATGAACTTATTTGTCACCCAGGAGTTTATTCGGCCATTTAGGACCCTCTCTATGAGTTTCACTATGTTCGAAGTTAACGAGATGGGTCTGATATTTGCTATGGTAAAACCTAATCCTTGCTTTATTATTAATGGAATTACTTTAGCTATTTTCCAGTCGTACGGTATTCAGACATTCTTTAAAGAGTCGTTTACAAGATTGAGGACGTCGCCGGGGGATAGCTTGAATAAAATTTTATTCATAGGAACTGTGATTCCATCTGGACCAGGAGCTGACGAGGGTAGATTTTCGAAATACTTTTGATGCTTCAGACAGCGTTACGTTTTCGAAGTCAGTGCTCATGCTAGACTTTTGCCAGTTGAAAGCCATAGTCCAAGAAAATCTAATTTCTAGACCTCTGCCAATTGACTCTAAAAAGTTTCGGTGCGCTGTGATTCTTCGTTTTCATCTTCACCATACCTCACGATTTCAAAAACTGGCGTTAGTGAAGTGACATAAAATACCTAAATTTATTAACAATTCGCGTTGATTCACTTTTTTCGCTAATACAGTACTTTTCTTGGTAGAGCCTGAAAGTTACCCTTTGCCTTCATCTCAGCAGCACTTCTTCAAAAATTAATTCACCGTACTATTCGTGACTTGAAAAAACTGCTCAATTTAGTCATAATTTCAATAAATAGGCAACGAACAGTATCCTTGACTTCGTTGCTTGAAACGTATAGTACAAAAATGCCACCGTGATTACTTCTATACTTCCTTCAATATGACAGGAACTTGGAATAACGTAGTCACAAAATTAGGCTTCTAATATACTCAAGTTTTAAATGTTCTTAAATAAACGAAAACGTTCAGTGCTTCTCAGTCCTGAGTTCATAGCTAAAAAGTTTGCCTTGATCATATTCATGCAGAATCCTTTGTCTCGGTATATTATGCACGCAAATATAACGGCAATGTTAGTGGCTGCCAAGAACACGTTTTTTTTTTCAGTGGCGGTCTGTGGCTTTACTGTAAATTCTTGGCATGCTCGGTCATAGAGGTGCCCATCAGAAGGCGAATATTAGCCCCTGATGCATTGGGTTCCGGTCACATTCAATAGAGTTATTGTTAGGACAGATAAAGAACTTCCATTTTTTCCGAGCAGGTGCTACAAGTGCATTGATGAGAACGAACATTATATGTCAAGGAAAGTATAGGGGATGCTGCTACGAGCTAATGTAGTGTAAAACTGTACAAATAAAATTGAATTAAAAGATAACTAGACACCGGCTGGATCCGAGCCAGTTCTGCTCGACGCACGCACCTGATGCACCACTGTGCTACGCTTGTAATCATTCCTTCATCAACGTTTTAGGGTATACATGTGCATATAAACCTAGGAGCGTCATTCAGCGCCATTTCTTGCAATTACCGCCAATAATTGTCATTACTTTCCAGCCCTGCAAAACATCAGTATTGTATTTAACATACTCTCGCTACCAGTATATCCTCTCGCGCGATGGTTCAACTCTCACGGAGACTTTGTAGTAGGATATTTGACAGGAAACCTTAGATGAGCATCGCCTAATGGGCAATGCTGATTTGTCACCTTACGACGGATTGTATTCAGGAGACATACCCTAAGTCAGATTGCTACTGTTCTCAAGATGCTAAAATTTTCCAGGAATTCTTGTTGGCTAGAACACACAATGCATAGCCTCGTTTCCGAAGAATTATCGCCGAGGAGAGGACTGGTCAATTTTGCCTTGTTGCAGAATCGTTCACCTTCACTAATCATTTTAGGCTGTCCTCCAATGCGTAATTGAGTATGTAGTGAAGTTTTGAATGAAAAACTATAGCAGGTGTTTTTGGTTGAGCGCGCTTCAGCGATCATAACTTACTGCTACGCGGAGGCGTATGTAGCGGTCATAAACTACGTAATAAATAAAAACTGAACAATCAGATCTCTTCAAAAAATGTGGTGTGCGAATGAATTGTTTCTGCGAATCCTGTCGGTGTGTGTTTTTCTTGCGAAAAGCAGAAAACAAAAAAAACGTTATGACTGCGTGCAACGCCCAGCACAGTCACAGCAAAAGCCGGAGGCGCAGCCTTTTAAAGCCTCTTCTAAACACTCTTTGGGCCACAAGATTGGTGCACACTAGATGGGTGCCCGCTACGACATAATTAATCATAATTTTCTGTAGGAGGCCGCCATTCACTGAGCTATTCTTCATCACACCTTGGAGGAGCTTGGTATCTCCTATTTTTCCAAGGCATTTTTGCAAGAATATATGCAGTGGCTGACGAGGATGATAAACTATGCCTCAAGTGGGTACAGCCGACAGTTAATAGGGATCAAGAACAAGATTCTGTAATGGCTTGGAGCAAATGGAGGATCCAATCGTTGCGCAATTCGAATTGTATGACGCCTGGTTGTTCTGCTGTTCTAAAACGCTTAATGACTTATATTACCACGAATACTTCATCACGTCAAGTCTTTCAAAGGCTAGTTTTTAAGTGAGTTCTAAGCAGCGGTGTGGCTTGGTAGAATACTGTCATGGCACGCAGGCTCTGCCTCTCATTTCCCGTTAACAGTGATTGGCATGTCCTCGTAGAAAAGATCGGTCTAGCACTGCGTGCTTTGAGCTTTCTGAGGTTTCTGTCTTGCGCAACACCACTATGAGGGCCCGAGAAATAGCCGCCAGCAGTGTGAGAGTTAGCTCCCACTGTTTTGCATCTACTCATGGTTTCCTTGAGCGGGAGATGTAATTTTTTGAAGGGAGTTAGCTTTGAAGGGAGATATAGAATTCCAAGCTGTAATAATTGAATGCTTTGCTTAACCTTTAGGTTACCATGGCTAAAGCTTTCTCCAATACTGCAAACATGTATACTTGGCTTTAATTCATCTCTCTCGTGTCTCTCTTCCCTGCTTTTTTTCACTTCAACATAGAATTGATAGGAGTGGTTGCGCAGTGGGTGTTTCGGCTTCGTAATTTCTCACCTATGCCGCAGAAGGGACGACCAATAAATATCGGCGAGTACGTTCATTGGTGGAGAAACATCCGAGTTCTCCTCTTACCTAATAGTTCATCAAAGAATACACCGTGATTCACATACCTAACAGGGAGGAGGAAATTTCAGACAATTTTTATCACGAAGCCGTTATATGCTGGGGGTCCTTTAAGCTTTCAATGACGTACTTCCGTCATGGAAATGACGTCTAAAGATAACTTTCAGATGACCAAGTTCCGTCAACGGCCGTCGAACCCCCAATATCTCGGTAGGCGATAACATTTGCAGGGTATGCTATTCCCTGCACAACCATAACATACTTTGTAGGATTTAAAAGCAGGCCTTTTACATATACCACTGCCCTCTCACGGTACTCTTGGTGAAGTGCATCATAGCATCATTACCATGGAATCCAGGATTAGTTCTGAAATGCTTTCAGTGCATCGTTTTGTCCGTGTCCGTCCTAATTGACGCATTTTCAATAGAATCGGAGTTTTGTAAACACAATAAAATTCTGCCAGGTGGTGACCTTGCCCAAAAAGTTGGTGTGACTAAAAGCATCCATTCATTCATACCAAAAATAGTTCTGTGGTATACCAAGCATGCAAAGCAACGCGCTTGCTTCGTCTGGTTGTAACTTTGCGTTGCCCGCTTACACTCGCCACGCGAGAAATCATGGCCGGACAAAAAGAAAGTCACTATGCGCGTTGCGTTTCCCTCAAATCTTGCAGTGGCAATCACTAATTCGAACATGTCATGAGCAGCCGACGTTAGGGCACGTTTGGCGTACATTAAGTCGCACTCCTCTGGCTGTCACTCTGCTTTATTTGGTTTCGCTGTCACCTTTAACTACTAGAGCTATATCGGGCATCATTATTCAATATTGAGTCATTATTCACGGACGTTAGTAGTCGGGATGGGGATGTATCGGTAAGCGTCAACGTGGATGTATTTACAAGAAATGGCGCTTCAATTTAGCTGTCTAAAACGCAGAGGCATCACATAAGCTCTATTATAATAATGTACAGCAAGCATTAAACTGCTTTCTGTAAGGAGATGTTTTACTTTTGTGTTATACCGATTCCCAGGATGGAGGGATCAATCATGTTCGTTTACCTGTTTTCGGCAATGGTGTTGGTCTCAATTCGTGCCATATTTTGTCGCAAATCCTTGCATACCAGGTCAAGATTTCCTGCTGTGCTGACTTTGAAGTTTTGCCGACTGAAGATGTCTCTATAAAAGAAAACAACGTGAAAAACGTATTGCGATAACAACGAAAACGTATTGAATTAAAAAAGAAAGGCACACGTTCAATAACTAAATGTTTTTTTGTTTGAGTTTGGCAGATTAACCGGCACTCGTCAGATTATTCTAACAAAGACCGGTCCAACTACCTAAACATTGTATGTGAACTGCGTTGTATGTGAGCCAAAGCAATGTAATTTAACACGAAGATGTTTATGCCAGCATCCGCCAAGATGTCAATCGCGTATTAAATATTGCGCATTACACTTCTTAGCTGGTTGGTTAGACGACTTAGTCACTGATAGCGGGATGACTTTCTGCTCTCCTATAGTAGAGTACAAAGTACTCTGAATCGTTGAACACTTTTTCTAGACACACGTATTTCTATCACAAAAGTGACGTCGAAAAAATACATACACTTATAAATTATATAAAAAACATTGGCTGCGTATCTGCATGTTACACAGCACATGTCGTCGAAAGACGATAGTCTAGCGTCAGGAGAGAGTGAACAAAACGTTTATTTGATGTTCTGCGCAAGAAACTTGGTGAATGGTGTGGATCCTTTTCATATATACGCCACCTGACGGTGAGCTTTTCGTCAGTTTCGCTTCGCAAAAGAGCGTGGGATAGCTAGCGCCATCATGAGGGCATGGAAAGCGAGCCGGCAAATGTGTGAGTGCTGTGATGTTTGTGTTGGCGGCCAGTTGTCCGTATTATCCACTGATATCGCACCGCTTTCTAGCTTGAACGAGCTCCTAGTAAACTCCGATAAGTATTTTGAGATGCTTCCGCTGCCCAATGAGCAACATTTTGTAATCTTCAACAGGTTGGACGAGCAGTTTGGCTTGGTATGACTGACAATGCATGAATCCGGCCTGCAAAAGACTTTCATCGGCGCTCCCTCCCGATGCGGTCCGCGTCCTGCAGGAATGCAAGAGGTGTCTGTGTGCCCTGCATTCAACACGCATCAGCGTCACTGGGAAACAGAGCTTTCGTCGTCTGCTGCGGTGCCATCACAATGGCGGCAGACTGCAGTTCACGTCCGTGGCGCTAGGGGCACCCTCTTTCAAAAAAGGTCTAGTGTGTATTGGAGGCGAGCGAGTGCATCAAGTCATGTCACACGTGCGACATGAGCACCATGTGGCAGTTATCTTGGAAAACACAGTGCGAGCACCCTGCACGCCTGTCTGGGAGGTGATAAGGTGTAGAACATCGTGTGACGGGCACGTGTCACCGCCGTATCGTCTCAGCAAAGCGTTGAAAACTCTTGCCTTTTCTTGCAAGCGCTTCCTGGTCAGCGCAACGTGATAAATGGTACGGTCCCTATAATTACTTAAGCACTATTTTTCTTGTAAGATACACACGTACAAAATATTGACGTGTTATGGTGCCTCAGATATGTGCAATAATTGCTTTATCATTGACAATCACACAAGTAGGAACGCTTAATTTCGAGCAATATTGGTGGGTGCTGCGGATGACTTCGGCCATTTGAAGTATCGTTTGGCCACTTTGGCGTCATTTAGGGTACCTTTAAGGGCACATAAACAGACAAAAGTATAGACAGACAGGCAGATCATAATTTTTGCATCGAATGTCTCCAAGAAAGACTATCGTCTTTAAAATTTCCGTCAATGGGAGTCAAAGCCAAGAGCCTTCAGTTCGCGACAACACGGGTCGGGCGACTTCCCAGTGCGTCTAGGCCACATATTCGCAAACCTTCACCAAAGCCACTGGATAAATGGTCATCACTTTCCAAACGCGCTTTTTGTAAAACTCACTTTTTATAAACTTACACTCAACTTCATTTCTACGCATCCGTTCTATTCGGCACGTTTCCTATAGGAGAAGGGTTAGTGATTTCACGTTCACTACTTGGCTCACCCTGCAAAAACAACGGCGGTTAAACAGTATGGAAACCGTTCAGTGGAGTTTTCCTGTCTGACTGCAGCGCCAGAACACATAGCCTAGCGAATAAAAACAGAAACCTTGAGACGGACGTTGTTGAAAATTGAACGCGAAGCGCGCGTCTGCTGTCGGCAGATTGCGGTCGACTGTACAGTGGCGTACCGACTCTTTGGCGAGGGGGGGGGGGCATACCTACCTCACTCATCAACTGATATATGTATATATACCAAGCCGACTCATAGCGAGGCCTTCATAGTGCAAAAAACCATGGTCTTTCAGCTTCTCCCTGATCCGGTGGGCCAAGCTGCGGGGTAAGAATACAAGCTTAGCTCCCACTGTGCTCGAGTCCACTGCTTTATTACACTTTACAAACGCCACTTTACAAACTGATGGCATTGCTCCTAGCTACCATAAGCAAAGCTGACCATATTTATCAGAGACTACTGAGGAGACTTTTTTTGGCGCTTTCAGTACAGCTAAAGTAAAGCATTTCAAAATATTCGTAACACACATCGGCTCACAGCATGCAGCTTCGACAGAACAGCGGTGATTCTATTCATTTCAACGCATCATCATAAGCCTGTCAGACAATGCCGTGCACTTATCAACACTATTGCATATGTTTCTGACAGCCATCTTCTCTGCTACTACTGCGAGGTAGCCTGCCTTACCCACTGTTATAGCGAATAAAACTAGGTGGGACTCAGAGCCTTCGCCGCCAACGCGCTGTGTCTAGAGTGCGGGAAACGACCAAGTGATATCAACGAGCACCTCATTGAAACACACTGGACCCCTCGAAGACCTTCCCAATCATCGTCGTCAGGCAGCCACAAGGCAGCGCTGCACTGGCCGTAAACCGCTGCCTCCAGCTACTGTCCGGAAACCTAAGAGCACAGCCTCCGCCACCACCGAGGATCACTGAGAATTCTGACACACAAAAGGATAGTTACATGAACTGCTACTACAAAAGAGCGCGCAGTAAGCCAGAGTTCTTGCTTCATATTGCGACCGTGGAGCTCGCAGATGCCCCCTCCTAGAAAGAAACCCGTAGACAAGGTGGTAACACAAATTCCTCCATTCGACACAGCCTACTAAAATTGATCATCTGTACAATGACCAATAAGCGGATGTTTTCGGGGCAAAAAAATATTCACTGCAAACAGCAGTTAGTTGCTCTAACGCATGCAGGTAACCAAGATTGATAGCTTTCATGAGATTGTTTTAGCTGGAATTTTAATAAAACCTTATAAATCAATAAAGGCTTACAAAGAATGAAGAGATTTGACAAAGAATCTCTTGGGCTCATTCAGAACAGCGCCAATTTCAGTGGTGTTACGGCTAAAGTTACGAGCATGGAGCAGGAAGCCAGAGACCTCGGTGACGCCCAGGGCTGACATATGGTGCCATGTCTGTATAAATCGAAATCTATGAGCGATGACAGGTAGCGCAACACCAAAGAAATGCAGTTTGAACTATACTTTACGTATTTCGACAACAGTAGGTTAAGTATGATAGATCTCTAAAATCACAGCACGTATGGTTGTAGTATCGTAATGATCATGTTCGGAGCCTTTTCCAGTCAAGCAAAAAGCAAATTCACCGTAACCTATGTTTCAGTCTATAGGGGCTTCAATTAAGTGACACAACGAGTAGTCATACTGAATGTAACGAGAAAACAGCGAGTGTGCGTCATATCTATTGCATATATTTGGAAATGAAACTGTGCATTTTAGTCATGAACCTCGCGTCCGTGATTTTAGACGCACTCACTTCCACCGGTCAGGCACATCAGAACTTTTGGGCGAGCTAACGAGAATTTTTTTATGACGACTCTCTTAACAGGCCCCCTAGGCATTTGGCGCCGTAAACGTGCGGAGTGTGAGCTAGCCATCCTAGGCGAGGTATGACGTGCCGCTTGTGCTGGCGGGGCCCCAGAAGACCGAGCAGCCGCGGCCACGGTACACCATCTCCAGTACACCATCTCCGGTACACTAAAGTTTATTAGCTCTGTCACCATGCTCGGAGTTACGGGATATAAATTTTAAGATTCTTTCTCAGGATCTGGTACTCTGATTGAAGTCGAAATTGACAACGTTGTCTCCCCTGTCGCATGTACTATGCACGAGTGAAAGTGTGTGTGTGGGTGGGCGAGTGGAGGCTAATGACAGTTATTTCTCATGCAGAACAGAAACACGACAGCCATATTGTGTCCTGAGATTGGTGCATGGAAATGAAACCAGGCAGGTGGGAGGGGGGGTGGCAGTTCATATGGCTTTAGCAAGTATGGGTCCGTGAGAAAAGTGCAAAATTCGAAAATTTCGCTCGTAGGCGAATAGTGTCTTCAGGACAAATACGCCTAGAAAGATCGAGCAGTGCGTGTAAACATTGCCATTTATTCTAGCGAAAAATAGGCAGATCCAACGTACAGTGGAAATTGACGATATGCAAAGCACGAATGAGGAAGGTTAATAGCTCACATTAAAATCAGCCCAAAGTTATGAGGCAGAGATTAATTATGCCGTTCATGACTTTTATGTTATGATTATCATGTTGGAACTTCTCATTTACCTTCGCCATCTGTTCACGTCCCCTGATACCCAATTTGGCACTATGGAAGCCAGCGAAACGGCTGCGAGCGCATCATGAGCGTAGCAAGTAGTCTCACGTTGTTACATGGCATGCATCTCACAATTATCATGTTTGCACCAGCCACTAACCTTCGTCATTCATTGACATGACGTAATACCACGTTTGTAATATTTGAAGCTGGTGAAACGGCCGCGAGCGCATCCTGAGCGCAGCATGAAGTCAGGTTGTTAAAAATCCACTTTACAACTGCCGCAATCGCTCCTAGCTACCATAAGCAAGGCTGATCAGATTTATCAGAGACTAATGAGGAGACTTTTTTGGCACTTCCAGTACGGCTAATGTAAAGCATTTCATAAGATTCGTAACACTCATCGGCTAACAGCACGCAGCTTCGACAGAACAGTGGTTATGCTATTCATTTCAACGCAATCTCATACGCCTGACAGACAATGCCGCGCCCTTAGCAACAATATTGCATAAGTTCCTGA